AATGTTAAAAAGATGTGAAAAAAATATATATTGATATAAATTGATTGTAACCAGAAAATTTTTCTTTCACCTTCAACTGAATTTTTTTTTGTTACCATGAAAAAAAATAAGATTCCTGATAATAGGAAAACCCTTTCAATTGAATGATATTTCATGATAACTGAATTTACTTTCAAGTTGCTCAATTTTTCAACATTAAAAAAAATCAATGAGTCAAAAATCAAATACACTATCAACTGTCAATGATAAGAGAGTCTATTCAATATTATAAGAAACATCATGTTCCAAATATTATATTATATTTGCCCTGAAATTTCATGAACAAGTGAAGAAAAAAGTTTTCAAGTATCAGAATATTATCTGGAAAAATAAATTGAACAATCATCTTTTTAAATGATAACATCAATTTAATACCATAGACACATACAATTAACAATCAAGTCATGATCATATATTTTTCCATTGCTGAGTATTTTCACCAAACCATCAAGAATTTTTTTTCTCTCACAAAAGATTAACATGAAAAATGAAATTCTGCTTTAATTTGTTGCTCCAAATGAGCAGTTAGAGAGAGAAAAAAAAATTGTTTCAACTAATGAACTTAAACAACTTTAATCAAACTGGAAAATCTTTCAGTTTCAACCCTGAATTTATCATGAACTTTCATCAAGTTTATATTATTATTACTTATAAGTGGCTATGTTTTTTTTATCACCCTGGTAAATGATCATCATCATCATGATTATCATGATGAAATTTTTACTTTTCAGGGGAAAACTTTCTCTCCTTCATCTCTCTAATGAACATCATCTTAATACAGTTCAACTTTAATTCTGGTCAACAGGGAGTTAATAATATATATACTTAGCCCCTTCGTACTTTTCAAGGTACTAATCGTACTGAGGAATGATAATCATACTGGTTCAAGTCAAAGAAAAGTTCATTGAGTCAATTCTGAATGGATTCTTTACAGAATAAAAAGAGTAAAGAGAGAAAAAAACTTTTCGATAGCCGCAGGGGTTTTCGTAAGTTAGAACTTTTTTCACCCTTATTTCTAGTCTTATATTGGCTCAAAATTCAGTTTTAATACAATTATCCATCATGGGTCATCATGATTCTCTACCATGAGAGAGACCTTAATGAGTTATCATTCAGTTTTTCGGAGAAAAATTTTCGACTCAAAAAGGAAGATCAAAGTTCTAGTCTTTAATGTGAGAGAAGATGAAAGTTCATGATGATATTTGTTCTGAAATTCAACCATGATATAAGAGTACATGTTGAAATCAAGTAGAAAAATTGTCAACTAGTTGACAATCAAATTTAGAGAAAAAGAGAAGGGGAAAAATTTGTTTCCTTTTCTCGGAACAAAAAAATATTTCAATTCTTCAAATTCTGACAGCTTCATCTTACCATAGTAATAACATCATAATCATCTTCATCCTCTAAAATAAGGAAATGTATTTGTTTCCTACTCTAACTCATCATCAACCCATGTAATCGTCTTAATCATTACCCTGATCGAGTTTCGCTTTTTAAACTAAACTTTTATCGTTCATCTTTTCATGGAAAATTCATCATTATGTTTTTGGAAAATTTTCTCCAACTATATCTGCCTTTATAATTGATTTTCATTCGTCATCCCAATGCTTCAACCCGATCCTCAGTATTACACTTGACTTGCTGATACTTGGTGTTTACTGATAAACACATTAGTTAAACTTGACAGGGAAATTTTTTATCATCTTCTTATCTTCCTCCTTTCATTACTCTCTCTCTCTCTCTCTCTCTCTCTTCTCCTTCATCCTCAACTTTGTTGAACAATCAAAATTGATGAAGAGAGGGAGAGACTTTGAGATTCAAGTTGAATTAAGCATCGTATCCATTGGATAGGATTTTATAAGTGGGAGTGGGATACCAGCTAGTGGATTATATTAGGATGAAGATAAAGAATTTTGTAAAAAGGGTGAGAATGATGATAAATAATCGATTAATGAAGCGAGAGCTATCATTTTTTATTTTTTTCCTCAATCATTGTTATCATTGATTTTTTGATTCGCTATCATCATCAGTTGAATTATTTGTAACTATTTTTTTCACTTTCAAAATGAAGAATGGGAGTGAAAAAAGGGTTTTCATGGTAGTTCTGATTAGATGAATAGATGAGAAGGAAAGAAAGAGAGAGAGAGAGAGAGAGAGAGAGAGAGAGAGCAATGAGAGATGAATAAGCTTTATAATCATCATTTCCTTCATCTTCAATCTACAAGGATTCATTAAGAAAAGTACATTTGGATCGATATCGAAAAAAGAAACTTTTTCAATGAATATTCTCAATATAAAGTCAAATGAGACAGAAATAAGATAAAGATGATGAACATGTTGATGAAGAAAAAAGAAAAGATTAAGAAGATAAAACAAGATGGTGATGATGAGTTATCTCTTTGGTGGGAAATAAATAACTCGGAGTATATCGATTAGACTTGAAGAGATCGAAGATTGAGAGAGAAAGTGAATGAAGATGGAATGGAAGTTGAATAAATGTATCAGAATCACGATAATGTTGAATGATGGAAGTCAATTCCTGTAACCAAAATAGTTTCATCTTCTTAATCCACTAATCATATTAACGGATTAACAGCAATAACAGTTGATAATCGGATGTGCAGATATAATCATCAAGATGATGGAAAAGCAAAGAAATTGTAAATTGAGTAGTAACCATGAAATTACAGAATTATATTCAACATTTCCATGGACCCATGAAAACCTAATGAATATGAATAAATTATCTTCTTAAAACTAACAATCGAAAGGATAATTCCTCAGTCTACTGTTAACATTTCAATCCTTATAAACACAAATACGATATGAATTTTTGTTCATCATGATGAACAGTGAAAAAGGTATGAAAGTGATCATCATCATCATTATCATCATCATGATAATCACCCTGTGAAGATGATCATGTAGACAAAAGAGAGAGAGAGAGAAGATGAATGAGATGATGAAGATAAACAGGATAAAGTTGTAGTTTCATTCAGTTGAGAATTCAGTGTAATCCAGTTGACCATGAAGATGGATGAGAAAATGAAAAGGTAAAAGGAAGGCAAGAAACATGTAGACAACTGAATCATATTCATGGTTGGATAATCTCATATTCATTGGTCAGTTTTATTTGTTACACTTACAAATCAAGAGAGAGAGAGATGGTCAAAGATGCTAATGAATAAACACACTCAATATGTTTCATTATAATTCCAATGAATTCCCGCTGTCTATTCTCATTATCTCATGATCATTGGAAATAGAATTCAAATTTTATCATCAATTCTGAACAAAGAAATTAATTACTTTGTTAACTAAGATCTATTTTTATCTCGATAATAATTTGATATTCTAATGCTAAACTTCAAAATTGATTAGTCATATTCACAGTTTGATTTAGCTAATTGATATTTTTATGTAGCAATAGGAGCATAGATTTCGTGTTGATCATGAGAGAGCTTGAATAGTTCAAATCTAGTCACGATTTGGACATTTATTATGAAGAGATAACGAACCTTGATCGTCAGAATATCATCAATATGATAATCATTTCATTTGAATAATTAAATGTTTACAATTGTAATTTGGTTTCTCTTTAATTATGTGATCATTTTGTTTACATAAACTCATTAATTACAATTAGTTTCTAATCATTTGGTTGATTATTATGGTTTTATTTTCCATCTTAGACAATTAAATGCATTGAGAAAAACGTTAATTTCTTACGATTATCTTGATTACTGATTCGGATTCTAGACAATTTATTTCAGAACTTTTTTATTCATCTGATCAATTTTACTCTTTTTCTTATCTCTTTCTATTTAACTGACCACACTGGACATGGTTGAATAATGAACTGGAAATCGATAAACTTACCAAGAATCAAAAACAAATCGAATGAAAAAAAAGTTAATTGTAACAATTAATTAGAAAAACACTAATTCGGATCAACAATCTAGACAAATTTTCACCTAATCAAGCAACTAAATCAGTTTAGATTGTCAAGGATTAAATCCTCTTTTTCCAAGTTAATCAAGTTGAAAACTTTTTTCCCCACTGCAATAATATAATGACCACAAGTTGAGTGGTCATTTTTACAAGAGTAAAAAAAGTAAACGATAAAATTAATGATTATGTTTCTACAATCAACTTACCAAACTAATCAATGCTAATCAATATCTAGAAAACCGGATAATCAACGGATGAACTTGATGATAATAGATGAGATTACATTTTAGAGCAAAAAAAGAAATGACAATTTCCGGGAAAAGAATGAAAAAAAAATCAACTCTTCCCATGAATGGAAATCGTTAATCGGAATCAGAATCATTTTCACGCTCATTAACCTTTTTTAGAAAAGAAGAAGAGGAGAAAAAAAAAGTTCGAAAAGAAAAATCCTAAGGTACTTTTCCTCTATCATTACAAAAATATACTTCCAATTCCCTCTCTTGCCACTCCCACCCAGAATTCCCTCCATGATGATCATCATTTTTATCATCATGAAAAACAACATCATGAACCAAAGTGAAATTCAACTTCACTAGACTGTAACAGTAAATTATTATTGACTGATAAAAAACTCATATAATAATTTCATGTACAGCATGTTCTCATATGATATTATCATCATTGAAGATTCAGTTGATGTTATCTTGGAGATAGTTACATGGTAAGAAAAAAAAATGAATTCTCAATGATAACTGAATTTATAGCTACAAACATTTCAAGGTAGAAATAAATAACAATAATAATGGTGGAAAACAAAGTTCGTTTAACTTTTTTTTTCTTCTCCAGCCACATGATAAATATTAGAATAACACAACATTCAGCATGGAAACTTGAGTAATGGAGTTTGAAATTTTCTCTCTTAGTTAAATATTCATTGAGATTCAACTATTAATATAAATTAAAAAGGATAAACAAGAGAGAGAGAGAGATATTGAGGTGGAAAAACTTACCCGCCGGGATGACAAAGTAAAGACAAGGTTCCGTTTGTTTACCCACTCGATTCGAGGCGATACAATAAAGGACCCCGTAGTCCAGTGGTCTCTTTGGGATGTAGGTGGCAACACTTTTCAATCCATCAACGGTGAATTTAATCTGTTCCGGTTCACCAATACTATTGGAACTTTTATTCACATTTTCATCCCCTGAAAGGGTTGAATTAAAGGTCCATTGAAAGGTAACATCTTTCTGTGGATTAGCATCAACCTCACATACAATCACTGCGACCTCATGCTTGGCCACACCGTAGTGAACCCTTTGACCTGATCTACATATCGGTGTATCTGAAAAAAAGTTTAGGCAAAAAAAAAACAATTACGTTTAGATGAATTCATGATAATTGAAACAATCCAATTCAATTTTCCTCTCTGCACTTAATTAATCAACTTGATTAGATTTCATTGATTTGTAATTAACATTTGTCAACCAATTAAATAGATTAAAAATATTCCAAAAGTTGATTAGCTGTTTAATCAACTGATTTTCTTGATTAAATTAAAAAGCTCATTTGTTTTATTTCAATTCAATTAGTTAATTATTTTCCTGTCTCATACTTTTTTCTAGGTAAATTTTTAGTTAATTTAGTTTATTATTATTAGGTTAATTGTTTCAAAAAGATTGGAAATTAACTATTGAAAATGAAGGGAAAAAATTTCATCAACTGATTGTTATTCAATATTAAATGAAATAAATAAATTGGTTGATTGGTTAATTGTTCATTCAACTAGATTGTTCATCTCATCATCATTGATTCTTATGATTAGTTAATCATTTGGTAGTAATTGAAAAAAAGTTCAACTGTGGAAAATCTGAAATTTCTTATGGTGGTGATTTTCAGGTGAATTGAATAACCTGAGTGATGATTTTATGATTTTTACTTATTGGAAAATTGAATTGACAAAAACCAGAGGAAAAGTTGGAGAAAACAAAAAAAAATCCAATAATGGACATTGACTTACATTTAACATCTAAATGGACAATATCACTTGACCCTTTACCTATGGTATTAACAGCCCAGCATTGATATTTGCCGGAATGAATTTTACCAACATTTCGTATTAAAAGTGAACTATTATTGACAGAGATTCGTTGTTTATTATCACTTTCCAGCTTTTTACCATTATAAAACCAACCAATTTCAGTAATCGCTGGATTAGACTTGATATATCAAAATAACAGGATAGAAATGGATTAACGTTGATGAAAGATCAAAAATTTAGAGAGAGAGAGAGAGAGACAGAAATAGAGAACTAGATTATCTTCCAATATTACCTGAATATTGCATTCGATGTAAACATCACTTCCCTCCATGATATCCTTATTCTGGATGCTTGAACCCAGGGCAAGAGACGCAATTGGCACAACTTGAAGATGGACACACAGGGAAAATGAATGGACAAAAAAGTGAATACATTTTATTATATTAACATTGAAATCGAAGCAAAAAAATCAAATGTAATGACCACAAGAGACTTGAAGTCAATGGGACCATCAAGTGACTCGATATTATTATTGATGACACAACTAATGTAATACTATCTTTCTGTTGGCAACAATTTAAAATTTCTTCAAATAATCAACTAATGATGTAAAGATAACCTTTAGCTGACCGTAAGCTGCAAGGTCAATCATTGATGTCTAATTGTTACAGATAAATAGTTACAATCTTTTTTTCTGATGATCAGTAAGTGTAATCTAATCACTAACTATGGTTACTATTAGATTGAAGGTTAAATACTTACAGTGAACTTTGATTATTAGTAAATCTTCAATAAGATAATCTGTAAATTGTTGATTAATTGCTGAACAGGTTAATCTTTTACCATTATCATCAACTGAAGGCACTAAGGTGAGATAGGCAGTTGTAACTGAGCCATCATCTGATGTTGATTCACCTAAGCCGGTTAATTGTACACCCTCTTTGTACCAATTAAGTTTAGCCGGTGGACGGGAACCAATTGATTGGCATATTAGTTCATATTGTGTTCCGGTTAACATAATTGTCGGCGGGTTAATTAACTTTACTTCAACAGGCTTAACTAAAATATAAATGAAAAGCAAATACAATTCAAGGTAAATATTATACACATAAACAAATTCATTCATAAATATCCAAAAAAAAAGAGAAAAGAAAATTTGAAAATTCTGGTTTTCTACTCATTCCATAGTATCATCATCATCATCATCACATGTAATATTCATGGTGTGATTCTGAATTGAAGATGCTGATGACATTATATGAATTCATCATTACCATGATGAGCAGTTCTTACCACCTCAGAAATGAGTCTGTGGTGTAAATATGATTATTATTACACTTATAGTGGCAATTCAGGGTAAAAGTTGGTATCATGAATTCATATTGATTGATTCATGAATATGAAAACTTCAATTATCATCATCATCATCATTATTATTATTGTTATGATTAGGAATCTGTTTATTGCAATAAATATATTACAATGTGTTTGTAATTTCTGTAAAATGTTGTTCATTTTCATTGAGAATTAGTTTTTGAATCATCATGTAATGTATCCTGAACTTATTGATGTTATTATTATTATGATTACAATCAATTGAATTATTATATGAAGGTAACTTTAATTCAGGCAAACAAAAGGAAGAATCCAAGATATTCCTGATATTGTATATATGAGAAGAAGCAAAAAGATCCTGAAAAAAGGCAATTTATTTTCATGATCATGAATAGGAATAGATTCTGAAAATATCCAGAATTTTGGAAAGGATGTTTAATATGTACATGATACATTTTCTATTGAAAAATATTCAATGATTTCAATTGGGAATAAAGTGAGGAAAGTGTTTTCATGATATTACATGGAATCCAATCAACCTTATAAAAAGATATTTTCTCTTTTGTTTTCTATTCTATCATTTATATTTTGGTTCATTTCATGGAAAAATTTTTACTCTTTCTTTTCTCATGGAATTTTCAACCTTTTCCCTTACACCCTCGTATCTTCATCATCTTAATATATATACAATTCTAAGTAACATTCTCAGGTATTCGCATGAGTTTTCCAATTATCATTCATCAGAATCTGAGTTTCATTCACTATTGTTTGACCTTTTATATGGTAGAAATTTTTTTCCTCTTTCACTATCAACAAGATTACACACCATGGATGAGATTATTCATATCTCCTGTAATTGAACTAGGGAAAGTTCAGAAATGTTCATAGTGATAATCTACCGGCAATATGAGGATAAAGTTCATTTTCTTGGGAATGTTTATCCATTTCAAACTGAAATTTTTTCTCGAAATATTATTAAACTAATTTGTGGATAATATTTTGTTGATTCAATTTTCATTGATTCAGAACTTTTTTATTCCCTTCTTCATGGTGAAATTATCTGTTTTAGCTTGAATAGGATGTTATTGTTGATGACTAGAGGAAGATAAAAATACAGATGATGCAATTAAGATTCCAAGAGTTTCCATGTTAAGATATTATCTCATTCAGTTCAATGGAATCGTAGTTGAGATTAGACTTTTCTTCAGATTCTATTTTTCCCCTCCCTTCATAATAAGTGTAAATAATTTGATACAAAATGATATTATCTCTCTCTCTCTCTCTCTCTCTCTCTCTCTCTTTCGCTCTGCTTCTGACCACTGGTCAGCATTTCTGAAGTTCTTATGATAATATTATTATTGCGACTTCCTCTTTCTCATCATCTTCCTCCATTCATCAATATAATCATGATAAAAATGTAGTGAAAACAATTTGATTGATATTATCCAATGAATGGAAATAAATTTCCCTCTCAACAATTAATCAAATCATTGATTTGTCACCAACAAATTGCTGCCTTTAATCATAAACAATAAAGTTAATTTACAGTTAAATCATAAACAATTATCCAATGGGTGTATTAACATTGATATCTTTTCAAGTTTATTATCACTTCAATTTGTACAAAATGTTGTAATTAGAGCACATTAACACCCATGATACATGATAATCTCATGAATTAATATTTCTCTCGCAGGTTATTAGGTATATTAATCTGAAGATAAATTTGGTTCAATGTTTCAAATTGTTTCTCATGAAAGAATGGATAACTTTTAGTCACGAACTCAGGACGAGAGAAAAAAAAATTCTGATAATTCGATAAGTCTGAACTTTTTTTTGTTCTTTTCTTTTCAATTCATGTTAATTGTTCTGATGTGATTCAGAAGATTATCCTCTTAATAACTCAAGAATATTTCTCCTTCAGTATATTATACATATATGAATTCTCATGAAAACAAAAAGAAAATGTGACGAAATAAAAAGAGAGATGATATTATTTATCGTTTATTGGACATTCGAATGTGATAAATATGCTGATAAGATTATGACAACATGAAAGGTAAAACTTGGACTTATCATGGAAATGATATTTTCATGGTATCGAAATTATATTTCACAACCATTAAGATGATCTCAAGTAGATTCATTGATGCAGAATTTAATGTAACAGGAGGAGGAATTATTATCATCAAGTGTTGACAAAATTAAACTCATGAATTAACCAGGAAGGAATAATGATCATCATAATATTGAACATGTAAATTATTAATTAACAGTTAAAGATGATTAAGGTTGAGAGAGAGAGAGAGGAGGTAAAGATAATGAGGATAAAAGTAGGATAGCCAAAGGTCAATCTGATTTGAATTGGTCAATCATTAGTAAAACAATTTCATTCAACTGTTTCAAGTTAGTGGGTTGATTATTTCCAGAGGATGATGATGTTTTCTCACTCGTATCTGATTACCATCATGTTGTCTCAGATTCAAACTGAATTACATGGAATCATTAAATGTCTATCCCTTTTTTACTCAATGGTGACTATTATTATTACTTCCCTAGCCCACCCATAACATTATATACACAGTTTCGATATTGGTCAATACTGGTCATCTCTTTACTTCATCAATATTAGTAATTATTATTATTATTATTATTGTAATTTACTTTGCTGTGTGTCTTGGTAACATGATGATGGGAGTTGATAAAGAAGGTGGAAACATGGAAGTTGATTGTATGTATATAATTTTTTGATTCAGTCTGAATGTTCAGCCAGTTCTGATTCTGTAATTCTGTGTTCAGTTTGATAGTTTTTTCTTTGGATCCTTTTTTTTATTCTTTCTCATTGAAAATATAAAAGTGTCACGTAGTTATTAATATGTTGAACGTCACATATAATATAATGTACAAAAAGATATTCGCAGTTTTTTAGTTACACATGTATTAACACTACTATTGACCACTTATCCTCCTCCCACACTGGAAAGGGTATCATAGGGTTGAGAATATTTTACCACCTTTGACCTTGTTCTTCGTTGAAAATTGTTCTGGTTAGAAAGAGAGTTTGAAATGAACATAAAGTTTAAAAATTCCCGTGAGAAAATCAAAATAATATCAGAACTTTCTAAGCTCATGTAATCAGTGCCTTTTCTCATCACTATTCCACTTTAACCCTCATCCCCATGATAGACATGCTTTTGTGGTCCTTTTCACCATCAACTAACATTCTATATTATGTCACCAGGAAGACGAAAAAGAGAAAATCATTGAACAGAACTTTTTATTTCTCTCTCTTCTCTAGTCCATTCTCTTCAATTCCTTTTTCATCTCGTTCACTCTTCATCAATTCCAGGTTCTTAATTTTACCTTCTTCTTCTTATTCCATCGATTTAACCTCAACGACAATGACGAAAAATGATCATGAGACTTATGGGAATTAGAGGAAAATAATGTCACCATGGATAATGATGATGAGAGAAAGTAAGATGAACAAAAGGCTTTAAGAACTTGGTGAAAATACTGATGATGAAAAGGTAAATCATCTAACGAGTTTACAATGAATTATGTATATCAGGTAAAGAATCATTATCTTTGTAAAATAATTGAAGATCAACATTATTGACCATTATTCAAGTACGTTCATTACAATTAGTAAATGTATCTCCGTATAAATTATTGGATAAATGTCGTGTTACCTTTTCTTCATTGATCAAACAGAAATTACTAATTATTCTGTTATTTATTGATTATCCACATCTAATAGCTAAATTTAGAGCAATTGATAACTAAGTGACACTTTAGACTTCAACAAATTAGTTTCTGATCAGATCAAGGTCATTGGTTGGAAGAAAAATCATCAAAGGTCATTTAAAAATCCTCCTTCCATATAAATCTATGTATTTGTTGATGCTTCGTATTTGAAGTTCACAGAGCTCAGAATTTGCTAATTTTCCCATGGAATTGGATTTACCGGTAAGAAAAGTTCAGTATTTATTAATTGTCCATATCAGTTGGTTAACAATTAACTAGCTGATTGTTAGTACTTTAATTATGATTAAAACTTGAATCCACTAAAAGTAGTTAATGATAACCTTTCACTATGATGATAATAATGAATGAGCTACTATTTGGATTTGATTAACTGTTAGATGAGATTAACTAACATGTAATTAACAATCAATGAATAGCATGTTTATTTAATTTTCTAATGATGAACATCAACCTAATAATAATCAGTAAATTGTTACTGGTTTGATACATTGTAATTAAAATTAAATCAAAGACAAACTGTTTCCAGATGATTGTAATTAGCCTGATTACAATTAAGCAATAAGGTTGAAGATGATTAAACACAAAATGATAATACAAATGATAATCAAATTAAATCACATTGGCCAAATTGGCTTAACTTCAAATCTAATTTAAATCTATTAGTTCAATGGATATACAACAATTAAAAGTTGATTAGATTGTGTGAGCAGAGTAAAAAAGTAAATTGTTTCAATCTTAATCATTGAAACTTAGCTTAATTATAATTAACGGTTGATGATGTTTAAGAAAAAGAAGAGCAATTTAGACTCTATTAACAAATTGTTACATTCAATTTTCTGGTTAATTGAATTGATGATAAATTGTTATCATCGTGAGTTAAATCATTGGCTTGAAAGTTAATTAACTTAATCATTAAACATTCAGTTTACATTGTAACCATTTTTTTTAATCATCATGATCATTGAGATATTAACTATTATTATAATATGTTGATTGTTGGTTAATTGTTTTTGATAGTATTTGACTAATCATGTAATCATAGTTAACTTTTTGTTAATGTGTGTGACAATTAACAATAAATAACGAATCATGAATTTAATCATTGTGGTTGGATGGACAACCAACACTCACGATTAATTGAAAAGTTTAAATTGTTTAAAGTTTCCAACCCAATTAATCAAATAATTTAATCATAATAATTTATTTCCATCATTAGTGTAACGGATAATTAAACAGTAAATGTTATTAATCATTTTTTATCCAAGAAAAAGGTAATTTTGACTTTAGCCCCTCTTCAATGAGTAAAACTTCAGGTAACAATTAATTTAATCATCGCTCATGAAAATCACTGATAATTTACTTGATCATCCAAAGTAAAGTCAACAATATCGATCTTAATTAATGATTGATTAAACTGGAAAATAAATTACAAATTGAGAGTAAACAATTAACAGGATAACCTCATAGATTCTGAAGGTGATAATGATGATTCATAAATGATAATCGGAAGTAAACAATTCATGAATCAAATGATTACTTGTTGATGAATTTATGGATAATTATGATGATTAGTTAATTGGTTAATTAAAGGATTGTTGATTTACTTACGGTTCATATCAATGGCAACGTTTTGAATTAAAGGTGTGGTTAAATTGTTATTTAAGGCTCGACAGGTAAGAATAGACATTAAATTGTTCCGTTGTACTTGAAATGTGATTGTATTAATACTAATTCCATTATCACTTTGATGATAACTATCATCAATAAGGTCACTTCCTTTCCACCAGGTAAGTCTTGGGGGTGGATTACCTGTGGTCAAAATTAGAAATGAAAATTTCACGATGAAAATCGAAATGAAAATCGAAAAAAATTTCTTCTCATTGAAACTTTTTTCCTTCTTTCTCTTGGTTAAACTTTGATCAACTTTCCGATTCGTTCTCAATACTATTCAATTATCATTATCGAACATCATTAGTCTTAATCATTATCGTTAACTGTCCCCCCTTTGAATATTCAGATTAATCTGAATTTGATGAATTTCGCCTAAATGTGGATGAAACTGATTCTTTTTTCTTCTTCTTCTTGCCTCTCATATGGTATATATTTTATGCTCGAAAGATGATGTTTCCTCTGAATAATTATCTGAGTTAGAAAAAGCGAATTTGATAAAAGTTCTCATAGCCCATGGTAAGACTCATGATTATCCAATCTTAATGGTGATGATAAGTATTGCAAGAAGAAGAAGATGCAAGATGATTATCTCAAAGTTTCTCTCAGATTTAGAAAAGAAAACATAAAAATTCTGTTCGATTTTCTTATTCACCTTTATCTTATTTAATATCTTTCTTTCTTTCAAATAGCAAGATTTATTCCAAGTACCATGATCATCATCTATTCACTCATACAAATTCACAGAGAAATTTCCTATGAGAAGTAACCATAAGGTCCAGAATATATAAATAATATTCTGAATTCACAATTAGTTAATATATGGTGAAAACGAAACGAGATTAAATCGTGAATCAAATCAGTAGCAAAAATTGATAACATAATCAAAGATAATCCCATAGGTAAGATGATAATTTATGAGACATAATCTGGATTAATCTTCATGGAAACAACGAGAAGCAATTAAACTCAAATAATGAAAAGATTGATTAACCTGATTGATTATGATTAAATTATCACCTGATGATATTTGAACATATTCAAAGTAGTGAATATTTCACCAATTGATATAATCAATTATGTAAATGGAAACATTTAAAATTAATCTCTGATTAGTGCTCAGAAATCAGCGATACCAGTTAATCACTATGATGATTAATTGAAACTCTTACCTCTATCAGATGAACAGGTTAAATTAACCCAAGAATCTTCATTAAATGGACCAGCAACATCCTTGATAATGTTTCGTTCATCATCATGAATGGTTACTCTTGATATAGGCACTGAAAATTTAACCATGAAAAAGTTAATCAGCAAATGAATTAATATCATGATGAAAATTTTGAGGTTCGAAAAAAATAAAGTTCTAATAATAATATTACGTCGAAAAGTCAATTCGCTGAGAGAATTTTTTTTTTGTTCTTTATGTGAATGTAATGTTTTTATTTGCTTTTCGTTGGATTAACGGTTCTGAGAAATTATTAGTTTCCATTAAAATCGAAAGAGTTGAAAAAGAGAAAAACTTTTTTCTTTGTTTCGATCTCGAGTTTTGGTCAGTTAAATCATCTTTAATCCCTAAAGTTAATCCTTTGACAAATCAAAGCTCCGAAACCAATAATATCCTTGAGAGTAAATTTTTTTAATCCTTTGATAGGGATTAGGATTAATCAATTGAATTTGTGTTCTTATCTTATCCCTACAAAATTCATATGGTTATCAGAATCTAATCAATTGGGTAACATTGAGATTATAAATTGATCGATTATTTCAGTTTTCAGATTGCCGATAATTAACTTTTAATTTGATTGTAAATTGTGCAACTGTTTTAATCTCTCAAGTTAATTGGAAACAATGTAAACACATACAAGATCAAATTGAATTTGATTGTTACCGAGAAACTAATTAATTCATTTTTGATTTAGTTTCTGTGTGAACAATTAGCTGATTGTTTTGCATAAAAACATTAATTGAAATTGAAACTGTGTAATTTTTTTTGACTCAAAATTAACATTAATTGTTAACATTTTGAGCAAATGAAAAAAATTATCTTATATCTCACAATTAACTGAATACATACTAAATTGTTTGAATAACCTTTTCCGTATGAATATACAGTCCTCGGCAAAAGTTTAAGGACAACAATCAATTGATTGTAGCTTTGATTCTGATCGAATCAAACTTAATTTTTTTTTCGCCAAAATAAAATTAAATGTTGTTAGTTTGATTATCATATGAAAGAAAAAACTAATATTAATTAGATTAGGTACTAATCAGATAATTATTTTCTTTCCATTGAATGAAACTCGTCAAAAGTTTAAAGACAATTAAGTTAATTAACGAAAATTTATTTAATATTCAATCGAACCTCCTCGATTTTGGATTACCTTGATCATACGATCTTTCATAGAAGAAATTAAACTTTCTCTAAGTTCAGGGGTCACCTCAGCCCACTTTTCGATAATTTTCGATTTCAAATCGTGAATCGAAGTAAATTGTCGACCATTTTCGTAAACTTTTTTAGTTAACCAACCCCAAAGGTTTTCAATTGGATTGAGGTCTGGGGAAAGTGCTGGCCAAGCAAAAGTTTTGACCTCATTGACCTCAAGCCAAGATTTTGTGGCTAATGAGCGGTGAATAGGTGCATTATCGTGCATGAAAAGATATTCACCGCTGGTAATAAGAGGACCAACTGGTAAAAGATATTCACCTAGAATATCTTGGTAATCGGCTGAGGTCATTTTCGGCTTGCAAAAAGCAATTTCGGTAGCCCCACCAGCTGAAAATCCAGCCCAAACCATAACACCGCCGCCTCCTGAATGTCTCTTTGAGAAAATAGTCTTTTCTTTTCTTAAATCGAACCAAAAACTTTTAATTCCATCAGGTCCATCCAAGTTCCACTTCTTCTCATCAGAAAATATAATCGAGTCCCAGTGGGATCTCGAAGCGCTTACCATTTTCAATGCAAACTCAAGCCGTTTTTTTTTATGCTCGGCTGATAGAATTGGCTTCGATTTATGCTTAGCGTATTTGATATTCTGCTCATTCCTCAGCCGTCTATTAATTGTTGAGACACTAACATTTAGTTCCAATTCTTTCTGAATCTCAGAACAACTTTTTTTCCACTTTGAGGCCGAATTAATAATCGCTCGATCGTCTCGAGCCGAAGTAATTTTTGGTCTACCTGTTCTTTTACCTGTCCCGTGTGTCTCTGGACTCTTCAAGTAACTAGAAATTACCTGACGTGACCTTCCAATCGATTCAGCAATTTTAGTTTGAGTCCATTCAGGATGTAACCGAACCAAAAGGTCAATTTGATCCTTTTCGGATTGCGTTAATTGTTTGGCCTTTGGCATTTCTTTAAATTCATAAGAAAATTAAATATTAATAATAATTATTTGTTTGCCAATTTTGTAGCCAGAAAATAAGTTATCATTTGACCCTTACCTCAAAAAGTAGCCTGATAATCGCGATTGTCCTTAAACTTTTGCCGAGAAAACTTCAATGTTAATTTTAACTAATGATCTTAATTAGTTAATCACTAATTTAATTAGACTAAATATTTTTGTTTTTGTTATTGTTTACGATCAACATGCTTATGGGACCTCATCCCTAACAATTAATTCCCGATTGACAACCATTAATGGCGAAAAATTTAATTTAATTCAACTTAAATCATTGTCCTTAAACTTTTGCCGAGGACTGTATAAACAATAAAGTTAATTATGATTAACTGTGATTAATTAACTAAATCCATTTGAAAAACAAGTAATAACATGACATTTAAAATCAAAAAGTTGAACAATTAATTCAAATTAACTGTTTACTCAAATGATTAAAACAAAAAAAGACAATTGTGATTATCAAATCATAAACGAGATATAAAATTTAATTATTTAATTCTCATTGTCTTTAAAACAATTGAACTTTTCCTTTATCATATATGAACAATTATCATGAATGGATAAGGATTTTCAGAAACAAAGACAAAGATAAAAAAAAAACTTACCGATAACATTTAGATAAACATTTTGATTTATGGTTCGACCTCGTTTGAAGTCAACTCGACATCGATACTCACCAGTATCGACCTCGGTTACCGGTTCAAGGCGAAGGTATGAAAGAGGATGGGTAAGGTTGAAAAATGCTCGATTTCTAAGGTTTTCACTGGAAAAATGTTTCATCGTCTCTGGTTTACCTGAACGAGCATCTAACGTGTAAATTGGATTCTTATTATCGCCATGATACCAGAGTACCGCGACCAGGGAGCTATCACTATTCGGCTTACTTATATTACATGGGAGAATCGCCCTGCCCCCGAGTAGAACGATATAACCCTCCAAATCTGTCGAGAGAAGATGAAAACAAAATGATTAGTTTATTTTTTATCAAATTTTAAATTCGAACGCAAATTTATCAAAAAAAAAGTTCTGAAAACGATTGAGCTGTTTATCATCATGATTAATTAAGTCATACGCTTGAAAATTCAGTAATGTTTAATTGTTTATCCATCGTTTATTCATCTTAATTGTCCAATCAATTATTAAATTCTCTCTCTGTTGATTATTAATTTCGATGGAAAAGTTCTGAAAACTATCCAGAATAGGAGAAAAACTTTTATACCATTGGTACAAAAATAGAAACTGAATTAGTATTAATATCTGGGGAATTGAATTTGAATGGATAAATGGTTATAATCATCATCTTAAGTTATCATGATGATAAAAGATGATAACTGTAAGAGCTTTTTCATTATTCTATTTGTCAACAATTTCTCTTCATTTAGAATCAAACTAAATGAAAATTTAGCAATACGATAAGGTGAAAGGGACTTGATTCTGTTATTAATTTATTATCATAAACATCCTCATAACTATCATTATGAAAACTGTTATCATTTATTTCTGGCTCATCATCACCATCAAAATGAATTGAATATATGAATTGTTCCTGATAAACTCTGATCATCTAATTGATTCGTTTCTCTCTCTCTCTCCCTCTCCCTCTTCCCACCCCAATATCCTCTCCCATATAAATACAGTTTCATAAGCATAATTTAACTCACTCACGTAGTTTCATTCATTTGCTCCCTAACTCACTTGCTCAGAGTGGCAACTAAGGGACAAAAACAAGAAAAGGATAACGATAAAATCAACTGAACAGTTCAGATCTCATGTGAACCCGATTATTAGATTTTAATCAAAATTGATGGATCTTAATGTGCCTCTCACCATTCAGATGATCATTATCATCTCTCCTCATCTTCATCCTCCACCCACTCCTTTTCAACTAAGACCAATTTCTCATTAACATGATCATCATGATCATCATCATTATCAACTCACCCAGTCTCTCAATTAATGATGATGATGATAATCTTTATCATGTTGATGATTTTTCTTGAAAATTTTTTCCCCATCCCTTTTATTATTATTATTTGTACTTCTATTGTTTTATTTAATAATCATTTTATTCAATGTGTTGATTATTAACATTAGACAATAATTAATTTCAGCTTAGGGAATCAGCTGATGATGAATTGATGTTCAATTAAATTGTATTACATGAATATTATCATGTTATCATCGTTTAAATATCACGACAGTTTAATAACAAATTTCGACACTTAATGTGAAAACATTAGTTACTCAATTAATGGATATTCCAGCATAATGATTAATTCTGATTAATGATTTCAAAAAAAATTCATTAATTAATTAAGAAAAATTAAATGTTGATTGTTTAAATGACTTTCAATTCATGATCGGATCTCCATCCCAGTGAATCACCTATGGCAATAGATCTTAAGGAAAGTAAGTTGGATTAAGAAACAGAACAGAAACTTTGAAGTTCGAAAGAATTTGCTGAACTTTTTTCCTTTACTAACACGAAATCAGTTTTCAAGCTGAAATTTCAATGAGCAAAAAAATCAAGGATTGGCTGTTTATCTTATTATTATCATTATTATATAACATCAATTTCACTTTCACCCTCTTTGCCTCTCTCATCATTATCATCACGATTTCCTCCTCTTTGGAACGCCATCTTTTATCGATCTTAAAGTAATCATGGTTTCAACTCTCTCTCTCACTCGAATCTTCATTTTTCTTGGTTCTTAGAACGTTTTTTTCTATGCTTGAATCAAGAAATTTGAACATTAGTTTCTTGATGAATGAGAAAATAGTTTCAAATTAATGTGTTTTCATCTAACCCCTGGTAATTTCGCCTTCTCTTTATCCAGCTTTTCATGATACTTCATGATTAGAATGAGATAATGTTCATAAAGGAATCACAGATTTTAGTATCAATTTGAAAGTTAAAAACATTTCCATCAGTAATTAAGATACTCTCGTTGTATAAACATTGTTGGAAATTTTAATATCGAATAAGCATAAATTTACTCGTCGCTCTCATCGTTTATTCAAGTCTTCTTCCTATTGCACTAACCAACGATTAACAATTCGACTAATTTGATGGGATATTTTCCAAAAAAAAAGTCGTCGAATGACCTTTGAATGTGCTATTCGAAAAATTTAACCAATGACCTTGAAGCTTTTTCCCCTACAGTTTCCCCAACTTAGATCAGTTCAAGTCTCAAGTTTAACTGGTAAAAGCAAATGTTTCAAGAGTTATGAATGTAGATGAATAGCTATGTAGGTGGAAATCTTCACCTCATGCTCGCCGGTATTACGATTAAATCATAAGCTCAGGTTAGTATTTGAACTATTTTCCTTAAAGTGAAAACTATTGAATTGCAGCAAATCGCAATTCATAAAGAAAATTCTGTTGATATTAGAGATGAGATTTCATTGCAGCTCACAAAGAAATAGAGCAAAAGTTTTAAATTTATTTCCACTTGAATCTAACCTTAAACACACGAATGAACTAATTTGATGTTATTAATTTTGATTTCTTAACCCGATCATCATAAGAATTTATTGTGTGTGTTAACCATTCCGTGAATTGTGGTACAGTTTTGAAATTTTTCAATTGTAACAATCAACAAATTGTTGGTATCCTCATGACAAGCACAGAGAATTAGTTAGCATCTTTCTTAGAAAGTAAGTTACATTGAACCCAATTAAAGTTGATTGTAACAATATGATGTTACAATTTATCTTTAATGTGAGTGATCAAATTATTAATTGAGATAATGAATGTTTCTTATAATACATTATTTGCAGTGTCACTTTTTTGTTCTCAATTGACCAAAGCCCGCGATGTTTTATTATTATATCCTTTAGTATATAGAATTTATCCTTTCAGAGGGAAAAAGTAACTCATTTTCATCATGTTGCTCACACATTGTTTCAGAATAAAAGTGAAGAGAATGATGAAGAAAGAGATGAAGAGAAAAAGAAAAGACTTAAGATGAAAGATGTGGATCAGAATGAGAAATGTGATGAAGAAGAAGAAAAGTTCATTTCATCAGAAGTAAATTCATCTAAATACCAAGGATTTATCATCGTAGACTGTCATTGGCATCAACATGTTCATCATTTCACCTTTACGGTTAATTCATGAAAAATAAAAAAAAACATCAGAAAACAAAAAAGTATCAACCAATCATTAAGTTTACTAACAACTTATTGACCTCGATTGCCTTTCACCTAAGGTGTTTCGAGATTATTTCAAGTTCAATTTAACTCGAGGTGATATTCAAAGGTTCGAACTTTTTTTCCATTCCCTGATATCGTCTCAAAAAGAGGCCATAGAATTGCTCAAATAATAATGCATGATAATCGCAAAATACAAGACTATAGGGAGATAGTCCAATGTAAATTCATAGAAGATGAAGAGAGAGAGAGAGAGAGAGAGAGAGAGAGAGAGAGAGAGAGAGAGAGAGAGAGAGAGAGAGAGAGAGATTGAAGAGGAAGTGGAATCTTAAAGTAACCTTTAAGCGAAAGATATTTAATGTTGACTCACCAGAGTCCAATTCGAGTGTCCACTTGAAAAGATTTACACACATTTTATGCTCTTCATATCCAAAAGCTTTCCACTTACTACCTTCCAACCATCTACTCTTTTTTTATATTTATCTTTGCCTCAATTTCCTCCAGAGAGATAATCTGAATATAACCATGGTAACCTTGATAGTGAATATCATATTTTTGGTCAGAATTGTTGAATCTTTGTCTAGGAGACATTTGAGCACAATAATAAGACTGGAAAAGTTTCAACGTGGACAAAAACTTATGGAAACATTTTCTCACTTCTTATTAAACTAATACACGAGATTCATTCATCATTCACGAATCAATTTAATCTATTACTTTGTACTCTCATAATGAAAGAGAAACTTTTTTTTCACCTTTATAGTTACATCAAAAGATAAGAAAAGGTTATTGAAGGTGATCGGGTTTTTTTCTAATCTTCTTTGGTGCTTAGAACTTTTTTCGTTCTCGTTTTCTCTATCTCATTATTTGCGATATTCTGAAAAAAAAGTTCCAAGATCATTTAAGAGATAGTTCTAAATTTGAGCTGCTCTCTCTTTCTCTTTGGTAACCGATGCAAGAAAAGCAAAGAGAGAAAAGGCAAGATAATCTAATGTAAGTCATCTAGAAATGATAGATTGTTATTTTTCTCGATTAACTACACATTATCTTCCTCATCCTTTTTTTCTCTTCCTCATCATCCTGTCCATCTTTTCTCTTCGTATTTTTCACCTTCTACTCCATCATCTTCAAAATGATCATCATCATCATCATTTCCTATTCGGTGAATTGTTCACCTTTCCATTTACATTCTTAACATGATCTTGATTTTTATCCTTTGATTTTTTTCCCTTCTCGAGTCCATATTCAATTCTTATACAACTTGGACTTTCAATTTCACTTTAAAATTTCATCACAAGGTCTATTTATCGTTCTACCCCATGATCTCATTCTGGGTCCAAAAACTTACAACATTCACCTCGAAAATTATAACAAATAACATTCGATAACAAAAGTTTTCAAAATTAAGTTAACCAGGTTAGGTGGAAATATGAATCTATTACTAATTTAAATCACATCTTTAGGTGAAAAGATATTTTCATGTTGTTTAATAACATTGAAGGAAACAATTAAGAGCTATTCTAATGGTAGTTTATGGTGAGTTGTTACAATTAAGATCATAGACCTGTTGGGAGTGATAAAATCGTTGGGTGATTTGTTTCTCGTTCATTGATAATAATAATTACTTTGTAGCTTTCATAATATAACATGATTTAAGCATTTGAACAATACAGTTCATTAAATAATATTCAATCTTGATAATATTAACAATTATGAAGGCAAGTAAATGAGTTAACTAAACAATAATAAATAAACAAACTCATCAATCTCATCAAAGTAACGATAATCT